GGGTTTTGAAGGCCCTTTTTTTTTTTTTTTTTTTTTTTTTTTCTCGATGGAATTGGGCTACTTTTAAACTGTTACCATCGGTTGATTTTCCCAGTTTGAAATGTTGCATAAATTACATTTGACTGAAATGTTGCATAAATTACATTTGACTGAAATGCTTGTATTGGAATATTTTGCATTCTGTGATAAAACTGTGTTAGATGTTAAGTTTTGTGAAGGATGGCCACTGGTAGGAAGCTTTTTAGCTGTGTTTATGATCAATATGCATAACAGTGACTGTAAATGTAAAATATGTATTTTAGGTATGGAAATGACATATTTTGAGTTTTGATATTTGGGATATGGTCATTGCACTACTTTGGGCATTACTTTAACCACCAACCAACCACACCCCAGCACCCAGCATTACAAGCACCTAGCCATGCAGTCTGCATTTACAGACATTTGTGGAAAAAAAAGTAAATTCATGACATTTCATCCCTGTTAGATATTCCATGGTCAACTGTAAGTGGTATTATTGGAAAGTTTAAGCGTTTAGGAACAGCAGCAGCTACGAAGCTGAAGACCACATACAGTCACAGAGTGGTCACTGAGTGCTGAGGCGCATGATGTGTTAAAGTCGCCAACGTTCTGTTGATTCTATAGCTGAAGAGTTCCAAACTTCCACTGGCATTAATATCAGCACAAAAACTGTCCCGTGGGAGCTGCATGGAATCAGTTTCCATGGCTAAGCAGCTGCCTGAAAGCCTCACATCACCCAGTACAATGCCAAGCATCGGATAGATTGGCATAAAGCATGCTGACACTGGACGCTGGAGCAGTGGAAACCTGCTCTGTGGAGTGGCGAATCATGCTTCTCTGTTTAGCAGTATAATGGTTGAGTCTGGGTTTGGCGAATACCTGGAGAATGTTAGTAGCCTGACTGCATTGTGCCAATTGTAAAGTCTGGTGGAAGAGGGAATGTGATAATGGTATGGGTCTGTTTTTCTTGGGTTGGGCTAGACACCTTACTTCCAGTTAAGGGAAATTTTCAGCATACCAAGACATTTTGGACAATGCTATTCTTCCAACTTTGTGGGAACAATTTGGGAAAGGCCCTTTTTTATTCCAGCATGACTAGCCTAGTGCATAAATCAAGGTCCATAAAGACATGATTGGATGAATTTGGTGCGGAAGAACATGACTAGCTCAAATCTCACCTTTGAGATGAAGTGGAGCAGAGATTGTGAGCCATGGATTCTCGTCCAACATCAGTGCCTGACCTCACAAATGCTGTACTGGACGAATAGGTAAAATTGCTAAAAATTGCCACAGAAACACTCCAAAATCTTGTAGAAAGCCTTCCCAGAAGATTGGAAGCTGTTATAGCTGGAAAGGGGGGGTACAACTGAATATTAATGTCTTAGAATGCAATGTGTATTTAGAATGCGATGTCATTAAACCCCGTTTTATAAAAACCAGCATATGCTGGTTATGTACAGTATGAAGCATGGCAGCTGGTTTAAGCTGGTCACATGTGCTGGTCCTAAGCTGGTTGAGCAACTAGCTCCTGCTGAGGAATAGCTCATAATCAGCTTAGGACCAGCTTAAACCAGCTCATGAGCAACTAAGGACCAGCTTAAACCAGCTCAAACCAGCTGCCATGCTTCAAGAGAAGCCCCTGTTGGTGTAATGGTTAGGTGTCCCAGTACTTTTGTCAATATAGTGCATCTTACCCCTTGTTATACATCATATTTTACTGAGAAAAGATTGCATTTGTGATCAAATTTTTAAAAGCTATGGCCAGTTTGGCAGTCCACTAATAGCATAAGCGCATCCAACAGTAAGAAAGCACATGACAAACAATACAGCCATTTGGCGACTCCCAGCAATAAATTCACAGTGAATGCCCCATTACACAGTCTATAACAGCCTTCTCATTCTGATTACTGTCTCTAGGCCTATTTACTGTTAAAACTATTAAAACTATTTATGTTTTGGTCCCTGAGCATGAACTGTGACTGTTTTTCTTCCCAGTGGCTTCTGCTTTAATCAATGAGTTTTAGATTTCACATTTCTGTTATAGTTCCCTTTCAGTCGGTCACTCTCGACGGCACGTCGGATGACCGACGAAATTGGGATCTCGCTTAGAGAGACCAATCTACTTCGAGTGTAAACTAAACAAGCCCGGCTGGGGCGACTTCTACTCCAACATCAAGACGGTGCGCCTCAACCTACTCATCACGGGTAAGATCGTGGACCACGGGAATGGCACTTTCAGCGTCTACTTCCGTCACAATTCCACCGGCCAGGGGAACATCTCCGTCAGCCTGGTACCTCCTGTGAAGGCTGTGGAGTTTGACTTGGAGCGCCAGAGCGTGGTATACCCTAAAGACTCGAAGATCTTCAACTGTCGTGTAGACTACGAGAAGGTGGACCGCAGCAAACGCACCTCACTCTGCAACTATGACCCCTCCAAGACCTGCTTCCAGGAGCAGACACAAAGCCACGTGTCCTGGATCTGCTCCAAACCATTTAAGGTCATTTGTATCTACATTTCCTTCTACAGCACAGACTACCGACTGGTGCAGAAGGTCTGCCCAGACTATAATTACCACAACGAGATGCCCTACCTACCCTCAGGCTAGAGCTTCGTGGAGCAATGGACTGCGGCATGGAGGGCTGGTTGGGGGGGGGGGAGTTGGTATACAAAGGAACAGTTCTATTACGGATGTGAAGATGAACGCGCAATGCTGATTTGGGAGGGTTTTTTAAAGGACACAGAAGTCCTTGTCTAAAGACTCTTCAGAAACTTATCATTGAGCTGATATTGAACACCCCCTCATGACCTGAACATCAAAGGTGGTTCTCTAAAAGGTGAATGTACAGTATTCGATGTGCTGCAGTTGATGTCTTAAAGAACCTCTTAAGCAACCTGGCAAATGTGACCTGCAAAAACGTAAATATGCAAAACCAAATGGTCAGGCCCAGGTGCTCAGGGTGGGAGTGTCCACTACATCAGTCTGAGTCCCTGATTGGCTACGCTCATCAGTGCCCAGTGTTCTTCTAATTAACACATGGGAACAAGAAAATATAATGGTCACCGCAGGCTGTTATTCAGTGGTGGAAGAGGTTGCTGATTTGGTGTACACTCTTAAAAAGAGTGCTTTTTTTAAGCATCTGTGGTTCCATGGCATCAGTGGTTCTTTAATATACAAGGAACATTTCCATTGCACAAATGGCTCTTTAGAGTGGAAAAAGGTTCTTTAAATTATTAAAGAAAAAAAAAAAACCTTTAAGAACAAATCACTGAAAGGTTCTTTGGGGAACCAAAAACTGTGGATCTATGGCATTGCTACAAACCCCCTTTTGAACCTTTACTTTTAAGAGTGTAGCTTGTTTTTCCAAAAACAAACACAGCTAACACAAACTAACACACAAAATTAACACAGCATGCCTCACTGACACTTTTTTCACCTCTGTATATTAAACACAAAAACAGTAAAGGATGACACAAAAAGAAGACTAAAAAGAAAGCCAGTACTGTAAGTGCAGAATGCAAAAGTCTAAGAGCAAAATTACCAGATTTCACAAAAAGATAAAAGCCTCCCCTCTCTAATATCAATGAGAAAGAACGAAAGCAGGACAGAAAGCACTTTAATTAAAAATACAGCACCGAAAAAGAGATGTTGAGTCTGCATTGAGCCCGATCTCTCTATTATTCTGACTGTTAGGGAAGAGCAGAAAAGATGTTTTGTTTGGTCAGGATTCCTGACTTTGTGCTGTGATAACTGTTCTGCTGAATGCATGATTGCTTCGTCCTTTTTTTGAACATTCCCTTACAGTAAGCCGGTTTATCATTGAGAAAAAAAAGAGAAATATTTTTATGTTAATTTTGCATAATTTAATCATACTACACTGGGAGAGCTTGCATTACATTCTGAGATTTACCTGGCCAAGGACTTCTCTGGATGTAAAATTACCACATTAGATGAACGAAATTCAAGCTGACCTTCCATGAAGACACTGTTTATTGTGAAAGAAAATCAGTTATATAAAATTCAAGTGGATTTAAATAAAACATGGGCAGACCTTTTATGTTACCGGACAAATCAAGACAGAGTGAAAACAGGCCAGCTGAACTTAAGTCATCAGGGGAGAAATGACTGAAGAGGAAAGACAGAGAGGAAGGATGGAAGGTAAAAGACAGCAGTGGGAGTTATGACGTCTGCAGTGATGAGCAGGTGTACATGACAGAATGAAGAGGAGAATGAGTGAGGATAGGCGGGGGGTTGGGGGGTGATGCACAACATGAGAAATTGAACAGGAGATGGACCGGGAACAAACACATGAGAAAGGGACAGAATGAATATAGGGGAGGGGAAGAGGAGAGAATCACAGAAAAAGATTGAAAAACAAACTCAGGATGCTAAATAGAGTAACATAAAAGCACAATATGGAACATCAAAGTGTCGTCTCACTGAGAGAGTTGGAGGGAAGAAGCTTTTTATGAGCCTACGAAAAAAAGAAAAAAAAAACTCTTTGCCTGAAGTTAAATTCAGTACGGTGAATACACCCCTGTGGGTTTCGACACATTTTAGAGAGTAACAAAGACGGAAATATCCTGCTGGATAGATCAGTTTATCCATGTTCTTAAAAGGCATACTATTCATCTCCCTCTAATCTGAAATGTATTGTTTTACTTACAGGCAAAGCTGCAAAACACTTTGACAACAGCCTGTGTTCCACTGTCATTGTGTGTAGGGTCCTTACTCGAATTAAAAGTGCTTAGGGTCCAAAATAATATCACCAGCAATTCATTTGGAAACTTGTAGCATCATATATAGGCTGGCTGTTTTGACATCACAGATAAAGTTACAATGGTGAAAAGTTATTATCGCCATTCAGCTTAGTAGATGGTTTGATTTTACATCACATCTATCATTCATACAATCCGACTTAAACCATGTTGTGATTCCTTCTCAGTGTTCATTTTGTACCCTGTAATTGCTAAAGAAGGTAGAAGAAGAGTCACCTGTGACTGCTCCAACAGGTCTGTGTCTGATCTGTGTAAATGAGCGTTTGATCCAGACTGTGTTGCTTTGATCTGTCTCTGCTGCTTCCTAAACCATGTCGAAATGTTTGGCCAGTCTGGTCATATCAAATTTGCCTCAGTCTAATTCTCAGAACAGACACGTGAAAATAAAACACTTCTGTCAGTGCAGCATGTCTGGTCTGCCCTGCTGGTGAACTGAGCGCCGGGGTTCACAGCTCTCTGCTCTCTTCTCCCTCAGGCGCTGGTCTGGACTGAGCTTCCTAATCTCCTGCAGCTTAACTACACTACCGCCTGCGCGCACACACACACACACACACACACACACAGCCTGTCACATAATGGCGTAATTGCTCAACTTGCAGGAATCTTTCGTCCTTTTATTATTGGTTCTATTTTGTTCATTCTCTTTCAGTGGTTCAACTTCATTTTGTTGATGTCACTTATTTTTGTTCATTCTTTCAGTCTATCATTTGTTCATTCTCTTTTTTATTTTTTTGTTTCTTTTTCCATTCAGTCCTTTGTTTGTTTCCTTTCATTTGTTCAACTTCATTTCAATTGTTAGTTCATTCTTTCAGTCATTCTTTTCTTTTTGTTTGCTTTTTGACATTCATTCTTTCTCCTTCTCTCTTTTATTTGTTCATTCACTTTCTTTTCATTTCTTTATCTTTTGTTTGTATTCTTTGTTCAGTTACTTTCATTTGTTTTTCGTTCAATCTTCCTTCATTTTTCTCATTCCTTCTGTCACTTTCTTCTTTTCATTCTCCTTTTCTTCTCTCTTTCTTACTGTAATTCTCTCTCTCTTTATCTGAAATCTAGAGAATCTTTTTTGCTCATTCTTTATATTTCATTTGTTCACTTCCTTTAACATGCTTCCTTTTTCATTCATTCTTCCTTATATCCTTTTTGCACTTTCTTCTAACACAATCATTTTCATTCTTGTTTCCCTTTTGTTCAGTCTGTTTTGTTTGTTCAGTTCCTTTAATGTGTTTGCTTTTTTCATTCATTTTTGCCTTTCTTTCAATATTTATTTCTAACTTGCATCCCTTTTGCACTTTCTTCTGAGATAATCTTTCTTTTTCATTCTTTTTTTCCTTTTTCGTTCATTCTGTTTTGTTCACTTCCTTTAATGTTTGCTTCCTTCTTCATTCATTCTGCCTTTTCTCCATTCTTTCTTTTTTTCTGTCCATCTTTTTTTCACTTTCTTCTTCCATTCACTCTTTCTTCCTTCCTTCCCACTCACTTTCTCTCGCTCTCTTTCTGTCTGATCCTCAAGAAATATCTTCAGCAAACCCCTAGTGGTTCCCTTCGCTCTTCTCATGGTCACAGGATGTTTTGGAGCCCTTCTTTATACCGCTCTCACACTTAGCTAACAACAGAACATTAAGTGTTCCCCTGGTGATTTCGTACAAGAGTTTGCTGACTATAGTGTGTCTATATTAAACCACTGAACATGAGCACACGTGGGCTGCACTAAAACGTACAGTTTAGAAATCAATCCTAATTTGCTTCTAATTGCTTTCAGGTAATAGTAGCACTCTGAATGCTACTTACCCACAAAAAGCTGGCTGCAAATCTGTTTATACCCATACACAACGCAGTCCCCTACTGGAATAGATACCATTATATCCTGGGGAAATGTCTCCAAAACAACTCCGAATCTCCCTCTGACTGCAGAAGAGGGATAAGGAGACTACACTGTCACGCACTGCTGTGCGTTGCCAAGGCAAGGATAAAAGTTGAAGTGGAGGAACTCTTCAGTTGTCATAGCAACAGGCTCCTTGGCTGGCCTGTTGGACTTGGACGGAGCATCGGACACCTGGTCATTCCGGAGAACCAGAACTGAGCTAGCAGCCTCTGTAAGCAACAAATTGTACAATGAAATGTGGTACAACATGTACTGAACAGACATATACTGCACATAAATATATAAATAAATTAATATTTATAAATATATATATATGAATACATATATATGAATACAGATATATACAATAATCCAACTCCTGGGAACTGGATGAAGCTGTATTACATGTCAGACATACAGTGGACTCTTCTCTGGTTCATTTGAGGTTTACCGTTTATTTCTCTATTTTTACATTGTTTATTTTACGTGTGTGTCATATTGATATAGTGTATGGATGACAATGGTGGCATTTATTGTGGTTTTCTGACATCTGACAAAAAAAAATCTGAATCAATAAAAGGAAAGCACTGAGTTTGGCTCCTGAGCTCAGAGGGCTAAAGTGACTGTCGTTTCAGGTCTCGTCTTGTTTTGACTGCTGATTGACAGAGGGGATGACATGAGCACAACATGAAAGCCTATGTTATCGCTCTATTTGCATACTTGTATTCAGTGCCCATGGCAAGAAGCGGGGAAAACAGGAGGTAATGGTCCACAGGGATACGGAGAAAGAGATGACAGAATTACTGAGACAGTGGAACTATACAATAAATTGCACTTAAACAGTGTCACCGTGAACTCAAAACGTCTACAAAGTTTCTCTTACTTTCCTTTCTTTCTTGGACATAATTGGCATTAAATCTGTCCAGCATCGCAATTAAACCTGACATTTCAATGATTTCATAGCATGCAAATGAGCTTAAATGATGTTGTCGTAAAGCAGATCGATTACAACGTCGTATCTGACAGCAACTTCAGCTCCCCCTTCTGTTCTTTTTGTCTTTATATATATTATTTCACGTCCCTAACCGCCCTCCGCTCTCTCCTTTTTTTCTCTCTTTCCTCTCATCTCCCAATCCGGCCTATTG